ATAGTAAAGCATGACATGAATTCTCTCACTCTACATGAGTCTCCCATTCTGAAGGATCATAAATATTACCATTACAGAGCATTTTATGGCTTCCAAAAACATTATCTATTTTACTCTGAAAGCAACCTCATAAACTAGGCATTGCTGTTAGCCCCGTGTTATATGGGAGAAAAGTGAGGCTCAGTGAGATTAATTTGCTCATGGTCAATTAAGTACTACAGTTTAGAGAGGCCAGAACAACAACAACAAAAAAAACCTTACACTCTGTCCCTTTGGCCACATGACCTTCAAATAGTAGGTTCTAAACAACTAATGAATTTTTGTAGTATTTACAAGGGTGAGTAATAACATGAATTTGGGGTTGGTGGGTGGAGTTAATGAGTTTGATTGTGAACTTGTTGAATTTGAGGTGACTGCAGGATCTTCAATAGAGAAACATGTAGACACATATAAGGGTGTGGAAATGGGAAGATTTCAGTATGTCTGTACAAGACAGAGCATGCTGTCTTCTTTTGGAACATATCTAATGGATTAATTAACATCACAGCTCTCAGCCCATTGTCAACACAGTGATGATTCTATATAACTCTTTTTTGTTCTGGAAGCCATTTTTAAGATTTCGTTGTACTGGGCATGTGTCATATAGGGAAAAATTTATATGACTATACATATGATCAGTTAAAGAACAATTGTACTGCCATGGTGATATTGAAGATACTTTAATCAACTGATCATAACTTAATTTAAAAATTAGTTGCCTGATACAGCTGATTAGCTAGAATGCCAAGTGGCACTTATAATAATGTGTAAGAAGCCACTAGAAGAGGCTTTTAGTGAAAAAAAAGATAGGAGTAATCAAAAGCTCTATATGATAAGGAATGTTTAGGTTTTAAAACCCATCATCCAGGGCTGAGCATAGTAGAGCACATCTATAATCCCAGATGCTCAGGAGGTAGAGACAGTAGGACCTTGATCTGAGGCTAGCCCAGACAAAAACCACAAGACCTAATCTTATTTTTTTAAGGCAAACAGGACTGGGGGTGTGGCTCAAGTGTAGAAGCAAGGCTCTGCGTTCAACCTCCCCCACCAATACTGCCAAAATAACAAAATAAATAAATAAGTAAAAACTAAATAATAAAATTGATCCCCTACAGCTATAAAACTAATATTTAAAGCAGTGCAGGAAAGACATCTTTGACTTTGCAAATCTGTAACTCTCAAACCTCTGACTCTTTTGTCCCCCTGTTGAAAATAATTGCTTTATGAAATGAGTTTGGTTGCTATGGCAATTTCTGTTCTTGGGTCAGAAGCAGTCCCTGCTGCTCTCAATTCCCCTGTCCTCTCTCACCTGCACCTTCAGCCTGGAATGCCTTTCTCACTACATCTCTCTTTTCTAAAATCCTCTTTATCCATCCTCACTGGTACATCACCGAGCTCCTCCTGGGATGTCCCCCAACTCCCATTATTTTATAGGGTAGTTTCCTTCATAAGAGGGTATCTGTGTGCATTTTGTCTCCACCAATAGATTCTGAGCTCCCTGGGGTTAAAGACCAGCTCTCATTTTGTGTGCCTTAAGTCTTCTGCTATGGTGTTTTCAACATCATAGTCATCTAAGACCTATAAAATGAAGGAAAGAGGGAATAAAACAACAGTTGTCCCTTGGTAACTGAGAGGGATTGGTTCCAGGACACCCTCTCTACCAAAATCAGCCAGTTACTTTAAATTATCTCTATGCTACTTATAGTACCTAATACAGAATGCATGCTATATAAATGTTTTCCTGTATTGTTTAAGAAATAACTATAAGAAAAAAGTGTCTGCACATGTTCAGTAAAGATGCAACCATCATAGGCCCAACTACACTTTCTACTTGCATTTGGCTGAATCTGAGGACACAGAAGCTGTGGCTATGGAGGGCCACCTGTATACAGAAATTGGGACACTCAGTTTTATAATGGGGCCCATAAGGTTGACCGAATGGCATTTCTCCAACTAATCCAGATAATAATGTTGTGTTTGCTTTTATTTTGACATTGAGAAATTGCTCTTCCCATCTGTCCTGGTCCATTTCTGCTGCTTTAACTAATACTAGAGACTGAGAAATTTATACAGAATAAAAGTTTGTTCAGTTCTTGGTTCTAGAAGGTGGGCAGTCCAGAGTTGAGGGACTGCATCTGGTGAGGACCTTCTTGCTGGTGGGTACTCTGCAGAGCCCTATGGTGGTGAGAGCCTCAAATGGTGAGAGAGATGCATAAAAAGACAGAGCCAAGTTTCCTTTTATAACAGACACATGGAGAGACAATCCATTAATCCATTAATCCATTAATGGATTAATCCATTCCACTCATCACCTAATCACCTCTTAATACCTTAATGGTGATTAAATTTCAACATGAGTTTTGATGAGGACATTCTAACCACAGCATCTAATTCCCCAAATAAAAAACAAAGGGTTAAAATAAACAAACAATATTTGGAATGTGAAAGCTTGTTTTGCCAAAGCAAAAGTCAATATATTGTTATAGTTTTATTTCCAAAGACAATGGTAAATTGTCTTATATGGAAATTCTCCTTAAAAAAAATCTTGTCTTCAAGGTACAGTATAATTGCAGTGATTGGGAAAAACCCTACCTGTGCATAAGCAAAATAATAAGAAATTTTTTTTAAATCTGTATTCAAAATATATTTAATGTGGAATTAGGACTTTTATTCCAAAAAAAATTCATAAAATTTCTGCCTTCTGCAAAGGAGCATGTATTTCTATGATGAGATAGTCTCCAGGCTGGGCCTGGTGGTACTTGTCTGTAATCCCAGCCCTTGGGAGGCTGGAGGCAGGAGGATGGTGAGTACAATGTGAGCCTGGTTTCAAAATGACTCCCATCTCAATGGAACCCAAAAAAACAAAAAAATATATTCCTGGCACCAGTAAGCAGTTATTTTTCTGAACCAAAGTAGAGAAACTTTGATAAAATAATGCCTATGGAGTACGCAGTAAGCATTTATTAATGAGTGAGTTTACTGTATCTAAGGGGAAGAGGGAGAAAGGCATTTCCCCAATACACCCCACAGGTTACAAAAAGCAGAGGATGGCACCCCTATAATCTCAGCATTTGGGAGGCAGAAGCAGTAGGCAGGAGGACCTCAAGTTCAAGGTCATTCTGGGCTACACAACCAGTTCCAGGCCAGCCTGAACTTCATAGGGAGACCTTGTCTCAAAAAAAAAAAGTACATGTTGTGGGGCGCAGGGATGACAGAAAGCTTAGGTTGCGATGGATGTAGAAATTTTGAATGAATCACTGATTATGTACCTCTTACATACCTTTGACAATGATCAGTGAACCTGTATGTAGCTTGTGTTTTTTCTGCATCCCTTCTTCTTTGACCAAACTAAGTTTCTCAGTCAGGGGCACCAAGTGAAGGGACACTTCTACCTCCCTGTACACCGTCAACACACACACACACACACACACACACACACACACACAAGTCTGGATGCCCTGCCATGGTCTTCCTACTCCTCTTCTCACTTTCTCTTAAAAACTGTTTTTTCCTCCCAATTAAACCATCTTTCACTGTGGGGTATTTTTATTCAGTGAAATAGTAGAAAAGGAAATCAAGCTCATTCGTAATCTTTCTGCTCTTAGACATTTGTGGTTTCTTACATTTTCTTCCATCTTTTAAAAACAGGTCTATTTGTGCAAATAACATTTTTTATACCATGGAGATAAGCTGCACTGTACTGTTTTTGTATCCACTTTCCTGTCAGTTAACATCATATTTCTATTATCATCAGAAACTTTGTCAGCTTCATTTTTAACCTAAAGCATAATTCACCATTTTTGTGGGGGCGGGGAAGAGGTGTTAGAAATACCTTTAAGATATTGGGGTGTTACAAGAGAGACAACACTACTCAAAAGTCAATAGTCAAGGCAAAATTTACTTCTGCAGAAGGGTACACACCAGGAAGTCTGGGAAGCAAGCACACCAGGCGGGAAGTCCACTGCCTCTGGATTGGGCAGGTTTGGGGCTCACAGTCTACACATTTGGCTAATTAGAAAGGGGACAGATTGGGAGGAGACTTTGGGAACAAAGAAGTTTCAAAGCTCAGAGAAGCAATAACTGTTTTTGGTTGTCAGCTCTGGAACTAGGACATCCAGCAGAATTCTTGCCCTGGCCCAGCTGGGGATAACAACCCTTTGTTCTTAATAGAAATTTTTATCATGTTAAGCAGAATCCATGAAGTGAGCATATGGGAAGTGAATTAATGAGACTAACATTTGTAACAGCAGTGATTACTGATTAAATCTTTTGACAAAAAAGACCCAACCTAAGTTGATTTTCATGAGCAAACTAGGTGCTGTATTGCTTGGGGCGCACCTCCAGTCCATTTTGCTTTGGTTATTTTAGAGATGGGGGTCTCACAAACTATTTGCCTGGGGTGACCTCCAACTGAGATCTTCCTGATCTCAGCCTCCTACATAGCTAGGATTACAGGCATGAGCCACTAGCACCTGGATATAAATTACCTTTCAATGTGCTTTTTTTTCTTCAAATGCAAAACTCTGTGGGTCCCAATATCCTTTTCCATGACTGTATCTATTACCTTCCTCAGGGCTGCTCTGGTTTTTGCTCTTCCTCTTCTCAACACTGAACCCTTGGACGATGCTAGCCTGAGCTGGTTTAGAATAAAAGAGATACCAAACCTTGAAGTGTCAGAGGTGCAAAGGGACGGATAGATTCAAGCCAAACTTGTCCTTCACATCACTTGGGAGTCTTCTCAGATTAATCAGGAGGCCACAGAAACAAATCCCTCAGCAAATGTTGTAAAGGCTTAAGGCAGAAGCTCCTTAAGCTAAAATGCTTAAGAGATGGGGTGGGAGGAGGAGGAAGTAGCAGCCCCGCCTGACTCCTGGATGGAAGGAAAGGATCTTGTAGGACAGCTGTAAGTGCTCTGAGATGCCATCAGGTCTAGAATCCTAATGCTGACAGAAGGAGGGAGATGGATCAGAGTGAGTACTGACAATCTTTCTAATTTGCTAAATCAAGATGGGGGAGAAGTCTGGAGAAGAAGGGGGTTCAGCAAAGATTCAGGAAAGCCTATACTGACAGCTGATGGTTCATTTTGTAATCTACATTTCTCTACCTTTGTTTGGGACCTTGAGACACAATTCATACAGCCATTCACTTTCTTTCTTGAAGCTGTAAACAAACTTTTCTTTAAAATTTGGGACTGGAATGGCCTCAGGAAGTCTGAGTTGCCCACAAGGACCTTTCATGGGTACTCCCAATCCTCCTTTCCCATCGGAGAGCATCATTAATAATTCCCTCAACTGCTTCTAAATAATACTACATTATATAAAATTGTCTTCTACACAAATAAGATTACATAGTATAATCCCCCCCTCACTTTTTAAAAAAATGTAGGGATGTATCATGAAAATCTTTCTGTGTCAGTGTATATTAATTAGTCTATCAAGAATGTGTGGAACTGACATGTATGTAAATGGAAAAATGAGACCTGTTGAAACTATTCCAGGAATGGGAGGAGGGGTAGTAAAGGAGAATGATGAAGGGGGTGAATTCCACTATGACATATTGTAAGCACTTTTGTAAATGTCACAATGTACCCCCAGTACAATAATGATAATAATAATAATAATAAAAGATTCCTAAAAGCACAGCTGTTAGATCAAAGGCAATATCCACTTTAAGTTAGGATGGATAGCAGCCAATTTTCTCTAAAAAGTCTGTATGAATTATATACCCATTATGAGTATATGAGAGTCCATTTCCAAATGTCCTCAACAAAATAGGTTATCATTATTCTGTTAAATATTTTTGAATGAAGCAAAGATGGATTTCATTGTGGTTTCGGTTTGCATTGCTGTGGTTATAGAAATACTGTCTTTTTAATATTTGTAGCTATTTTTATATATTATGAATAATAATCCTTTGTTACATATGAGGCAAAAGACCTAATAAGTTAACCTGTGCAGCCAATCCAGAAATATCTACTGCTTGCCAACAGCTATTGGAATTGCTGGGCACTGGATAGAAATAATTAAACGTGTAGTTCAGTATATAGTCACCAGTAAGCAAAAGTGACCATTTGGGGAAACAAGATAGTTGTAAGTGATTACCAGGAAAATTGGTGGTTCAGAGCCTAAGAAACTACAGACAGGGAGATAGATCAGGCAAGTCCTGGACTGTCTCTGTCCTGACAGAGCATCCTTAGGTCTTCTGCTCTCTTTGGCATCTTAGGATGGGGAGGTTGAGATGGGGTTGTGGTTTTCACTGTGTTACTTAGAATGCCTGGACCCTACAGAGAAGCCTGGTGTTAGGGGTGGGCGACCCTTGTTCTTCAGTAGAGCAGCTCATCTTGGGTCTATTAATTTTTTTTCACTTGAAGAAACAATAGAAAAGTGGAAAATAACCTGGGAGGGAAGGAAGAGTCCAAAAACTTCCATTCCAGGATCACCAGCAAGAGGTGAAGAGCTAGGTTTTGCCACTTACTAGGTAAGTGACACTAGGCAAGTGACTTAACCTCCCTAATCATTTTTCAAGTCATAGACATAGAGTTGATAATATCTAATTAGGTCACTGTAGGGATGGGAGATAATGCATATAAAGCCTGGAGCTTAATAATATTAAGCTAATATTACTATTAAACTAGATATAAAACATTTCTTGCAGATGCTAAGATGTCCCCATGTTCCAAAATGCTTAGAAAGGCTTTCAGGAGGCGATGGGTGCTGGATTTTATTTGACGATCTGGTATATGAGAAACACAAAGAGATTAGGAGGGGTGGGACTGTTCAGATGTGGGCATGATCTATTTGAAAACCACAATATGAAGGAAGCAGTTATTTTATGGACTATTCAGAGTATAACTGGGGATATTTTAGAACCACACTCTGGGGGGCTTTGACTTCATGAGTTAGGGATTTGGGCTTGAATTTTTGTTTTAAGATGTTTTTATTCTTGCACACTTAAAAAGGTATAGAACATTCCAGTACTCTCACCACATAGGAATTTTTCATATGCTCTCATATGGATTTGCACTTTCATATTTCTTAAAGGGGAGAAATGAAAAAATAAGTGAAGTATTTGTTAAAGTCTCCAAACCAACAGTAACAATGAGAAGTAGACAAAGAAAAAAGCTAGCATAAACGCAGGAACAAAGGCAAAAAAAAAAAAAAAAAAAAAAGAAGGGACTGAGTCCATATGGCATTTGGTGTCAGGGGCCAATTCTCTCTGCTAGCTGTGCCATACAAAACTTACCCTTGGCCATCACCATCTGGAACATTCCAGGACTTAGCAGTAGAATCCTTTAACGGGTCCTGGTCCTCATCCACACTTGATAGGACCTTAGGAAACCCTACAACACATATTTATACAACACATATTTATCAGTCTGCTGCATGCCCATAGACATCAATTCCTCATTCATGTAGGGTGGTCCCTCTTTTCCTCTTACCGACACCTGTATTTAAGTCCTCATTAGTCTTTGGCTTAGACTGTTGCAACAGAACTCTCACTGCCTTCCCCACCCTTGTCTTTTTTCCCTCCGGTCTGGGCTACATACCAGAACTGAATTAATCCTACAGCTTTGATGCTGCCACTCCTGCTCAAAAACCAGTCTTTAATCAAAGTAACACTTTCTCCTAAGTCCAAAAAAAATGCATGTTCAGAACAGAAGTGTGGAAAAATACTGAAAAACTTAAAGAAAAATCTCCCACAACTGTACACCTAAAAACACACTGTGTCTCTGTCCTTTTTATTTTTACTTTTTGGTCTCCAGAGAATTATTTCCTGCTCTTCTTTGCTGTTGCTATTGGTGTCCTTTTTGCTGGTTACATCAGATGAGAGGAACAAAGTTCATATATCCAACTCTTATTGTTGGATACATGGGTCACACTGAACACCCTTATGTTTATGTTTTTGTACGTGACTGATGATCTCAGAAAAAAATCATACAAGAGGAATTTAGGGATCAAAAGTACTGATGTTTTAAGTCTTTCTCTTATTTTTTAACAAACACTGATCGATTGTCCTGAGACAGTGTAACAGGTCATCCTCTACCAGGAATAGATGTTAGTACTGAGGCAAACAACATCCTCTCTGTCTGGGGTAAGCCCCATGTCACGCTGGCCCAGCCACCCTCACAGATAGGTCCTCTGTCCCCCAAGTCACCCTTTGTGAACATGAACCCATACTTCCAACCCTCCTTCCTCATAGGAGAGCCTCCTGAACAATTTGAACAAATAATTTTTTAGGCTCCAAATAATACTATGCTATATAAAATTGTTTTACACAAATGGGCTTATGTAAAATGTATTATCTTGTGACTTGTTTTTTAAAAAATATAACCATGCATCATCTTGGAAATCTTTCCAAGTTAGTGTGTATGTCTATCAACAATTTGTAACAACACAGGATGCATAAATAGGAGGATCGTGGTCCAGTCTGGCCCAGGCATAAATATGAGGCCATATTTGAAAAATACCTAAAACAAAAAGGGCTAGGGGCATGACACAAGTGGTGGAATGCTTGCCTAGGGAAGCCCTGAGTTCAAATCCCAGTACCACACACAAAAAATTGTATCAACTTACAAGTTTCCATCTGAGTATATAAGCATAATTTATTTAATAAATTTGTTTAGTGTTTTACTATCTCTTATTGATGGATATTTAGATTGTTTCTGATGCTTGCTCTTATAAACAATGCTACAATGGACGTTGCTGTTGAAATAACTGGATGTACGTGCAAATACTTTTACAGAGAAGATTTCTTTAAAAAATAAGAACCACTGATCAAAGGCAACATCAACTTTAAGTTCTAATGGTTATCAACTGATTTTTTTTCTCTAAAGGTTCTGTATGAATTTTCCACTGTCACAGTCAGCATATGAGCAAGTGTATCTCCATATGCCCTTAACAAAATGGGTTATTGTTATTCTTTTGAATATTTTTGAATAGATCAACTGTGGATCTCATTTGTTTTAGTTTGCATTTCTGTGATTATAGCAAGGTTGCCTTAATATTTATAGCCACTTTATGTATTATGTAATTACTACTATATTATATATATATATATATATATATATATATATATATATACATATACTAACACACACACACACACACACATAGAGAGAGAGAGTAATCCTTTGTTACCGCCTGCTGGATCATCTTGAATTTCATACACATGCATCTGTCCATTCAGCAATCATCCCTGAGCACCCACCAGGGGAAGCAGGTGATTGGAAGGTTATGGGAGCAGGCTCTGAAGTCAGCATACCTGGGCTTGAACCCAGCTCTGTCCAGTACTTCCTGCATATCACAGACAGTATTAACACTCCATCACAGAGTGACTATGAGAACATAAATTATTTCAGACCTGGAAAATGCCCCCAACAGTGACTGACCTGTTGTAAGAATTCCATGAACATAAAACCCTAATTTTCTGAAATTAGGTACAAAGCTTCATTTCTAGGCATGGGGGATGCAAGGTGACAATGGCCTCTGCTTCTTTGGAACTAATTCTAGATGCTATTCAATGTTTTGCAGAAAATATAGGTCTGGTGAGAAAAATTGATCGGGGGTGGGAGGAGGAACACCATGTTCAAGAGGGAAAACCCCCTGGTAGTTACTTCTGAGCCAAGACCCGAGTGGAGGATGGAGGCTTGCACGAGAGCAGGGCTGTCTTGGGTTTTGATTTCTCAGAGGATGGGAGTGTCGATTCTCAGAATTCCTCCCAGGCAGGTGACTATTTTACTGTCTCCTTTAAAAAAAAAAAGGCTGATAATACATCAGGATATAATTTGATCCTTTTATACGTTGTCTTTGTATTAGTCAAACAAGTGCCAGAAGTCTTATGTCTAGGGCTTACCTTCCTCTTAGTCATGTCATTAACTCCAGTGGAACTGTGGCCAAGTCAGATCTTGTGGGCACTGACATGTTTTTCTAATTGCTTCTGCAGAATTTCCTGCATTGTTGAACCTCTTCCTGATTCTCTTGGCTCTCCTTTCTGGCTTCCTTGGAGGTTCTTCCTTTTTTTCTTTTAAGTCACTGTCTCCTTGACATGAAAAGCCCTTTAGTGAGTCAAATACATAATTAAATTAAGTGGAGTAAAAAGAAAACTTAGAGCCTGGCGCCAGTGGCGTATACCTGTAATCCCAAGCTATGCAGGAGGATAGAAGTTCCAGGCCAACCTGGCAAAAAATGACCTTGAGACTCCATCTCAATGGAAAAAAGCTGAGCATGGTGGCACGAGCCTGTCACCCCAGCTATGGCAAAAAAAGTGAGACCTAGCTCCAAGATAACCAGAGCAAAAAGGGATGGAGGTGTGGCTCAAGGTGTGGTACCTGCCTTACAAGCATGAAGCCCTCAGTTTAAACCCCAGTACCACTACCAAAAAGAAAAAAATTTCCAGTGGAGAATGCATTTCTTCATGCACTGCAACCTTGGATGCAGACAGAAAGACTTCTTCCCTCTTCTTCCCCTTTGCTTCCCAAACTGAGAGAAGCCTGGGTGAAAGAAAGCATTGAACTGACTGCCCAAAGGTTCTATATCGTGAACAGCAACCACAAAATGCTGCATTTGGGTAAAAAGATTAGGATTCAAAAAGTCCACACGGTAGAAAAGATGCAAAAGTATAAAGAACTTAAGAGCAAGTTCAAAATGCAAAGAGCACAAGAACTGGCTGCAGCAAACATGAATTTTCTTCTAGGATGTTAGCGAGAACCACCCCTGGGGTTCCACCCACCAACCAGTAATAGCCTCTCTGCACAGTCGTGACAACAGAGATGCTTACAGACATTGCCAAATGTCTTCTGGGGGCAAAATTTCTCCTGTCAAGGACCAATAAGACAATAGGATGTTGTGCTATGGGAAAAATCTAATAGGCTTTTTTTTTTGTTTTGGGCAGTGCTGGGGTTTGAAGTCAGGGCTTTGCACTTGCTAGGCAGGCACTCTACCACTTGAACCACGCCCCCAGCCCTCTCAGCGCTGATTATTTTGGAGATAGGGTCTCTTTGCTCAGGCTAGTCTGGACTACAGTCCTCCTATTTTTTGCCTTCTGCTGTAGCTGGGATGACAGGCACATTACCATCTCACCCAGCTTTTTTCCTTTGAGATGGGGGTCTCACGCACTTTATGTCACCCTCCTCCAGGGTCTGGAACTTGATCCTCCCAATCTTAGTTTCTCAAATAGGTTGACCTGGCAGATTTTTGTTGACAGTGTGCAATATATATATATATATATATCACCAGCAAAAACGGCAAGGCAAATGTAATCTAAGGTTGCATTATTACTACTACGAGTAACTAATGACTACTGAGTGCTCACTCTGTAGTACCCTGTCTGATGCTAAGAGTCTCACAAGTGTGTCCTTACTTCATGACATGTAAACTCTATAAAGTAGGGATATAATTGTCTCCCCATTTTTCAGGGGACATTAAGCAACTTGATCCAAGTTCTCACAAGCTATTTGCAGAGATGGTGACCTGGGACAATGTCACTCCAGAGCCTGTACACTTGCCCACCCTGCTGAGAGTTTCATAACCATTCACTAGGTGTACACACTCAAAATAGTTAATACCTTTCTCATAGAGCTGGACATGGTTGAGAAGCTAGAAATAAGTTACAGGTAACCTGAGCCTCCCCAATACCCTAAATTCATGTTGTTCCCTGCTAGTTATTGGGCCCTTTGCACTGAACTTGCTCATTTTTTTGGTTTTGTTTTTGCATCTTTTCTGCCCATCTGGGCTTTTTGAATCCTAATTCTTTTACCCAATTGCTCTGCCAATTGAGCCTCTTCTACATTGGATGGGGTTTGGGCAGAAGTTTTCATGAAGGTAAGTTCATGTTCGGTGCAAAGGCATCACCTTCAGCTGGTACAGTGGCTCATTCCTGTAATCCTAACTACTTGGGAGGCAGAGAACAGAAGGATAGTGGTTTAAGGTCAGCCAGGGAAAACAGTTTGGGAGACCCCCATATCCACAATAACCAGAGCAAAATGGACTGGAGGTGTGGCTCAAGCGGTAACCACCTGCTCTGCAAGTACAAAGCCCTGAGTTCAAACCCCAGTCTCACCAAAAACAAACCAAACAAAACAGGTGCTTCACTGTGTAGCTCAGGCTGGCCTGGAAGTCAAGATCCTCTGGCTTCAACCTCCTAAGTGCTGGGATTACAAATGGGCACCCGCACACCCGGCTTTCACAGCTGAAGTTTCATTTGCTTCCCACCAACTGTAACAATTCAAGCTCCCAACTCTGCATGGACAGTGGGGTCATGCACCAGCTAAACCTTCTTGTATGCAAACTGTAGCAATAAGCATGACTTACCAACATCTGATTCAATTATTTACTGACTTTTACCATTGTAATTCTGGGTAAACTTGTTTCCAAAAATGATAATATGTCTATTTGTATATCAGCAAGTTAAAAGAGTATCTTTCAGGTATCTGGAATCATTTTGCTTTCTGGGACCTTAGTGCCCCAGCACTGTGGCCCAGGTCCAGGTGTGAAGGTCACCAGGATCAAGGTCTTCCCTTTCCTGGTAAGGACGTGGTGAGTTACCCTTTGAGACAGAGCCATGAAATTAAGAGACAGAGGCACAAAAGGGCTGAGACCCTGACAGGCTCCACAGAAACAATTCAGAAGTGTCCTGGGTACCCAAGTCCCATGAGTCACAGCTGGGCAGGGACCTGTTTCCCCTTCTCCCCTAGTGGCAGACTTGGTGCTCAAGTCCCTGGACCTGCAGATCCCTCAGAACAACAAAAAGCACCACACAGAGGAGATGGGCAGGAGGAGGCTCATCCTGCGCCGAGGCCAGAAGTTCGGGATCCAGCTGTTTTTCAACCGACCCTTCCAGCCCCAGAAGGACCACATCACCTTTGTGACTGAGACCGGTGAGCTTGCTCTGCCCTTAGGCTCCACAGGTTCTCTCAAAATGGGACGTTTGTAAACTTCATGAACAGGGCTTCTGCCCCTTTATTTTTTTTTTTCTTTCTTCCTTTTGTATTAGTTTTTTGAGACAGGGTCTCATCCTGCAACCCAGGCTGGCCTAGAACTCGAAATTCTCCTGCCTTGGCCTCCTTTGTGTTGGAATTACAGGAATGAACCACCAGGTCCAGCTTCCCTGCCCCTCTTTTCTGAGGTGCCTTCCTCTCTCTTCTCCTGGGATACCCAGGACCCTCGTGCTTAGTGCCCTATTAGTGCTGTTAAGGAAAGATTTGGTCAGCTCTGTAAACTGAAGTTGTGGCCATGACAGCCATGACAGTGCCTGTTACTGTTACACAGGCACTGTGCTAAAACTTCACACACATTTTCTCATTTTTTTCTATGAAAGCCTTTGAGGTAGGTACTATTTTAATCAGATTAAAAAAAAAAGAGGCCCAGAAATCTTGGGTGGGTTGCCCAAGGACACCCAGTGGCAGAAAAAGACTTCAAACAAAAGGATTAGCAAGTAGAGAGAGAAGGTGTGGTTCTTCCAGGCCCCAAGGACATCATATACCACATAGCTTTATGAGCCTCCCTCTAGGGTCATTCTCTCCTACCCAGGACCCAAGCCCACCGAGCTGCTGGGGACCCGAGCCTCATTCTTACTCTCACAGCCCCAGCCTGGGAATGTCTGGAGCGCTTCTGAATTCACCATGGACTCTAACTCTCTTCAAGTTTCCATTTTCACACCAGCCAATGCAGTCATTGGCTATTACACACTGAAGATGGATCTCGCTCAGAGCCAGCATCATAGTGTCACTTACCCCCTGGGGAACTTCATTCTGCTTTTTAACCCGTGGAGTTCAGGTAGGACCTGCTAACCTGATCCATGTTCTGAAGGTAACACCTACGCAATGTATTACCATCTGCTTTCACTAAAACTCACCTTTTTTTCTGTTTTAGAGACAAGGTCTCACTATGTAACCCAGGCTGGCCTTGAACTCTCACTCTTCCTGCCTCAGCTTTCTGAGGACTGGGATTATAGCTGTATACCACCATGCCTGGTTCTAAAAGTCATCTTTACAAAGAATATTTAATGGAGGACTGAAGGCGTGGCTCAAGCAGTAGAATGTCTGCCTACAAGTGTGAAGCCTTGAGTTCAAACCCCAGTACCACAAAAAAGAGAATAGTTTGGCATGATAAAAATACTCATTTTGTAATGTAAAGCAAAATGATTTAGCAAGTGGAACACAATTTTATTTTAATTATATTAAATATATGTTCATAGAGAGTCAGTAGAATATATTAAAGAGTGGGTTGGGGACATGGCTCAAGTGGTAAATTCATTCAAACCCCAATACTGCCAAAAAATGTAGCTGGGTGCTGGTGGCTGAGATCAGGAGGATTGCAGTTCTAAGCCAGCCTGGGCAAAAATGTTTGCAAGACCCATCTCAACGGAAAAAAGCTGGGCATGGTCACATGCCCCTGTCATCCCAGTTACAGCAGGAAGCACAAAATAAAAGGATCACAGTCCATGCTGGCCAGTGAGATCCTAGCTCCAAAATAACTGTAGTAAAAAGGGCTAGAGTCAAGTCCCAGTACTGCAAATAATTAATAATAATAATAGCAATGGTGAGAGTTTCTGAGTATGGAATGAATGATTTCCTTTGTCTTTTTTCTGTCCACTTATGTTTCCCAAAACTACAATAAATTTGTAACTTTCACAATCTGTATTTTGAAAATCTAGATTATATTGCTGGCTTCTGGAGAAGCACATGGTGGGCTTTGATACGGTCAGTTCTAATTTCTGCTGTCGACCCCTGACTGTGTCTCCTAGTTCCAGACAGATACTGTTGTTATTGGTTGTTTTTGTTTTTGTTTTTTTAATTTTATTGCTCTGTTTTTTACTTTACTGCTCAGAGGATGACGTCTACCTGCCAAGTGAAATACTGCTACAGGAGTATATTATGAGGGATTATGGCTTTGTTTACAAGGGTCGTGAAAGTGTCATCAGCTCCTGGCCCTGGAACTATGGGCAGGTAACGCCATCACCTGAAGGTGCCTGGGGTGGGTGTGTGCAGGCTGGCCCCTGGGCAACTCTGTTAGCTCATGCAGGGCAGCTAACAGGGGCACAGTGTGAGGTGCTGAGTCAATTTCCATCCAATCAGAGAGCCAAGGGAGGATGGGGATGTGCTGTTCCTTTGTAGTGTTTTATTATGAAAAGCTTAAAACATAATCGATATAGACTCGTAACTCTAATGACCCTCCTTGTATCCGTCTCTCAGCTTCAGTTGTGACCAGTTTGTGTATAAGTCTTCTTTCATCTTTCTTCTTTTTCTTTTCGGTTTGCAAATGATAATCCAGATATTGCTTATTGGACTAGATATTGCCTATTGGACTAGATATTGCCTGTTGCCTGTTTTGTTTTTTGAGAAGGGTGTTGATATGTGTCCCAAGCTGGCCTTGAACTTGTGATCCTCCTTTGTTTCCCAAGGGCTGTGATACTGCTTGTTTTTGTAAACCACACGAAGACTGGTTTTCACATTTTAAAATTCTTAAAAGGAATTCCAAAAGAATATTTTGTGGCCAGGCATGGTGGTTCATGGCTGTAATTCCAGCTACTTGGGAGGCGGACTTTAGGAGGATCTCATTTCAAGGCCAGCCTGAGCAAAAACTTACCACGACTCCATGTCAACAAATAAGCTGGGTGTGGTATCTATGCCTATAATCCCAGCTATGTGGGAGGCGGAGGTAGGAGGACCACAGTCCAGGCCAGCCCAGGCAAAAATCTGAGCCCTTATCTGAAAAACAAACAAACAAACAAAAACTAAAGCATAAAGGATGAGGGACATGACTCCAGTGGAAGAGCATTTGCCTAGCAAGCGTGGTGCCTGAGTTCAAACCCAGTACTGCAACAGAATAGTATTTTGTTACTTTAAAAATTATTTGAAATTCAAATTCGGTGCCCATAAATAACACCTTATTGGAACACAGCCATGCTCATTTATTTAGATGTCATCTAAGGGCTGCTTTCATGTTATGATGGCGGAGCCTGTGGCTGCCAAGGTTGAAATATTTACTATGAATCCTTAATGGAAAAAGTGTGCCTAGCTTGTAACACTCCTCTGTTCTCCTCACTACTGGAGTTTTTGAAGCAAATGACAGATACCCTATCATTTAATACAACAATACTTCGGAATATAGCTTTGAAAGATGATGATTCTTTCTGAAAAATGTAACCACAATATACAATAGTAACTGAAAAAATGAACAATAGGTTCTTTGATAGCATCAAATATCCAGTCACTGCACAGAAAAGGGTTTTTCCACTCTCAACCACCAGCCACAGATGACATGGTTCCTTTCTTCCTCCCACTGCTACCTCAGTCCTGTGCATAAACTGCAGGCTAAGGGAAGAATCAGGAAGAAACAGGAGCCTGCTGGAAAGACCATATATTCCCCCATTCTCCAACTATAGCAACTTGTAAAATGTTTTGAAAGAAAGATGGATACCAGTGCATTTGGCAGCCAAGAGTGTAGTGACATATGCCATAAGCATATGTTGTGCTGGGCTCCAGGGGCTCCTGCCTGTAATCCTAGCTATTTGGGAGGCTGAGATCAGGAGAATTGCAGTTGGAGGCCAGCCCAACAAATCATTCATGAGACCCCCATCTTCAAATTAACCTGTCTAAAACAGCCTGAAGGTGTAGCTCAAGTGGTAGAGCAACTGCCTTGTAAGAATAAAGCCCTGAGTTCAAACCCCAGTCCCACCAAAAAAATAAAAATAAAAATAAATAGATAAATAAGCAAATGTTGTAAACATATGTCATAGACCTATCCTGGGCTCTCCAATGCCTGCAGCATTAGCTCTGAGCTCCTCCATCTGACTTTCTCCCCAATCTTCTCCCTGTCTTCAAACAGCCCCCTCTCATCCCTCTGGTCTTTTCCTGCTCCCACATGTCCTCTAATAGGAGACAACCCAAGTCCTTTGGACCCATTGTGCACAAAGGCCTCAGGTAAATGTCCCCCAGAGTCCTTTCCAGTCTGCTCTATGATTCTAAACCCAGGCTTCAGAAGCCTTCTTTTATCTCTTCAACAAACAGGAACTGGTCACTCTCTGAATTGCTTTGCATTTTCCATCAGAGCCTCAATTTTGTTTTTCAAAGTTCTGAATCTAATACCTCTCCAATTTGATTTACAAGCTTATGGAAGGCAGTACCTTGTCTTATGTTTAGCATCCCAACCCCCACCCATACACATCATCCTGAAAGTCTTTGAGTGACTTGGAAGTTTCAGAATTCTAGACATTTTTGCTCTTCTTTTTTTTCCCTTGAAATGTCTCGGAAGTTTGAAGAGGGCATCCTAGATATCTGCTTTGAGATCCTGAACAAGAGCCTGTATTTCTTAAAGAACCCATCCAAAGACTATTCTCAGCGGAATGATGTGGTCTACGTGTGCAGGGTGTTGAGCGCCATGGTAAGGGCAGAAGCTTCCAGGCCTGTCTGAGGCCAGCCTGAGCTTCCCCCAGCACTGTGGAAACCCACCTATCTGTCTTTTGCAGATCAACAGTAATGATGACAGCGGTGTGCTGCAGGGGAACTGGGGAGAGGACTACTCCATGGGTGTCAGCCCACTGGAGTGGAACGGCAGTGTGGCCATCTTGAGGCAGTGGTCAGCCATGGGTGGGCAGCCTGTGAAGTATGGACAGTGCTGGGTCTTTGCCTCTGTTATGTGCACTGGTAAGTGAAGAATTGCCCACTCTTCATCGTAACCCTTTGAGGTTGGGTTGTGATGACCTCCATTTTCAGATAAGTCAACTGTGGCTCATGAAGGTTGCCCATGGCCCTCAACTAGGGAGTGGCTCTTAACCTGCATATGATGCAGTCTTGGAGGATTGACCTGTTGCAGTCACGTGTAGTCTCTTTGATGGAGGAGTGAGCGTGTGAAAGTGCCACCTGGCTAAAGCAGCTTGTGATCTCAAAGCAGAAGCAAGAGATTCATTACCTTACTAACTACACTTGAGGAGCATCCATGCTTTGTGCATAATCAGTTATTTACAATTCAGGTCAAATTTTTTGGCCCAATTATCTGTGAGGACAGGGGAGAAATGAGAGATGGAGGGTGGTTCCCTTAGAGTTCCTGGCTCTACCTTGGGCTAGAGCCATGGTGGCTAGGTAGGTGTTGCAATGGACCTTGGGCCTTAAGACCCCAGGATGAGTGGGAGAAGGATGAAGTCAATGGCCTTGCTCCCCTTCTAAAACCCAGAGTGCTGGAGCCACTGAGCAGGGAGAAAGCCTCTCCTGCCACTTGCAGTCCAGGTGTCACTCCCATACCTGCTGTGGGTTTGTGAAAAGCCCCAGAGCTGTGCTGGGAGTAGACAGGTGACAGTAGACAGGTGGCCCTCTTGGTACTCTTAATAGTTCTTTTACTTCTCAAAACATTGTGACCCTCCCAGCAGACCTTCCCAGCACCATCTTCCCCTCTTTGAAAGTGTGGGGTGGGGACAGATAGTCCTCTCTCTGAACCCCTTGATGCACTGAGAGAGGCAGTGTCCCCAGGTGCATCTGGATTTTGGTTCTTGGCTTGATTTCATCTGGCTCTATTCTGGTGTGTGTAGTGTTTTGTGTGTGTGGTGTGTATGTGTGTGTGGTGTGTGTGTGTGTGTGTGTGTAGCTTGTGTGTTGCTGGTGGGATAATGTCTACTTTGTGTGACTACATCTGTGAAATCTTAACTCAGCTTTTTAAAAGCCTGTGTAGCCACAAGAGGGCTCTGCTGCCTCATTGTTGCCTCACTGTATATGGTTCCCAGCTCTAATAACATCTTCCATTTTATTCCTAGAATGGAATGCCCTTCTATCCATTCTCTAATTTTCTTCTTCTTTCCCCCAAATCTTGTCTTTAAGAATTACAGATACAGAACTTCAGAATTGAAAATCATATGGTCTGACTTCTTTGTGTCACCCGCAGGAGATTAACCCAGAAAAGTTACCCTCTTAACCTCAGGTCACATAACTGCTCTTTTGAAACTTGCCACATGGAAGATGATAACTGGTTATTCTCATTCTCTCTCTAGAGATGACTTTCTTTCAGTCTATTGAAGTATATTCCTTTCCTAATAAACTTTACTATCACTTTCACAAAAAAAAAAAGATTAAACTGGCCACAGCATACCCCTAAAATTTTAAAATTCTTCCTAATTATCAAATGTTTTAGAGTCCTCTCCCCTCCCCTCACCCCCCCTCACCCCATAAAGCTGCTGCTGAGTGGAAAAGGCTCTAAAAGGTAAATTGAGCTAGTTATTGTTTTAAGTGAGTCTGGAATGATTTCTTCCTCTTTGTGGGTGGACACCATGGACCAGGCAGGTGGGCACAGCTGGTTGCTATGCTCTAGGAATAAAGAAGTTACAGGTGTGGATCTAAACAATCTTCTTTCTCCCCTCCAACTTGAAATTTAGAAATTGTGCCTGGAAAAACAAAGTTAGCTCACAGATTCTCTTTCCTTTTCTGCTCTTTAGTGATGAGATGCTTAGGTGTTCCAGCCCGGGTCATTTCCAATTTCCGTTCTGCACACAACACGGATGGGAACTTGACCATCGACACCTACTATGACAGAAATGCAGAAATGTTGCCAACTCTGAAACGAGACAAAGTGTGGTAAGGGACACTGTGTCCAACAGATCCCTGTTCTGTCCCAGGTAGAGGAGGAAACCTTGACTTGGTCCACTCTGGGTTCTGAAAGCATCAATGCCGTCTACATTGCTTCTGATGCTTTAGAGAATAAGCCCCCAACCCAGGGCGGAGGCTATTTGGCTAATTAGATCATCAAGCAAACTTATTTCAGAGCGTGAGATCCCAGGATAGAAGTGCTTAGGATAATGTCCTGTAGTCTCAACCTAATGAATGGCTGTGTGTCCTGCATTTCCTGAAGGTCTTTATTGAGCCTATGCTTTCTTCCGAGTCTTTCTCTGTGTACTATTTTGCCTGGACTTGCTGCCTCTGAATTCCTCTGCTAGTCTCTCTCCTCCTTCTCTCCCTGTTTCACTCCCTCTCTGCATGCAGGACTGTGTTTTTCTTATTTGTGCATCTTGGTTGATCCTTATCATATATATATATGTGTGTGTATATATATATATGTGTGTATATACATATGTGTATATATTTGTGTGTATATATGTGTATATTATATATGTGTGTGTATATATATATGGATATATATCCGCTGTATTCATAAAGGAAGTAAATGGAGAAAAATCTTAATAACAGCTGAATTGAGTATATGGTGTTCTTTGTACTATTCTTACAATTTTAAGCTTATAATCACTTTCTAATAAAAAGTAAACAGAGAGGAATACACAATGGTAGAAAGCACTCAGCATAGTGTCTGGTACCAATCCTCAGGAAACATAGGGCCTGTCTCTTTTCTCCTTTCTGCAGGAACTTCCATGTCTGGACTGAGTGCTGGATGATCCGGAGAGACCTCCCGCCAGGTTACAATGGGTGGCAGGTTCTGGACCCCACTCCCCAGCAAACCAGCAGTGGTGCGTGAGGACTATGGTAGTAGCAGACTGAGCAGACCAGGAGCTGGAGTGGAGCACGGTTTTCCCACTTCGCCCTCTTCACCTACAGAGCTGTAGCTGAGACAGCTGCAGATCTGGAGTCAAACTTTGCCATTGACAGTGGGGTCACCTGGATAGGTCTCTGGGCTTCCTGGTTCTTTCCTCACCTGTAGAAGTGGGGAAGATGATGGTGTCAATGAGGATCAGAGGAATGGGTGGGGACAAAGAGCTGTATAAAGTGGAGGGTTCCTCAAGGGTGAGGGTCACTATCCATCTTCCTGTGGCCACAACTAGTCACAATGTCCCACATGTCAGCAGTCACATCCCTGAACTCCTGATGCTTTCACAGGGATGTTCTGCTGTGGCCCTGCCTCTGTGAAGGCCATCAAGGAAGGGGACATCCACCTAGCCTATGACACACCTTTTGTGTACGCTGAGGTAAATGCTGATGAAGTCATTTGGCTCTTGGTGGACGGCCAGCCCCAAGAAATCCTGGCCCACGACTCCAGCTCCATCGGGAAGGAGATGAGCACCAAGATGGTAGGATCGGACCAGCGCCAGGACATCACCAGCTCCTACAAGTATCCAGAAGGTGCCTGGGCCTGGGAGCCGGCGGGGGGGGGGGTGTGACTGCTGGGATGGCTCTGGGTTAAAATCATCACCACCTGGTCACCTCCTCCTCATGGGGCTTTCCTGGACCCTGGGCATGTGACCCCAGGGTCAATGTGCCATTTAATAAATAAAAATACAGGGTGCCTAGCTAAATTTGAATTCCTGATAAATTCAGATAAATAAATATTTTATTTGTATAAGTATGTCCCAAATGAGAATTCACTATTTATCTGAAATTCAAATTTAACTGGATATGACTTTTTAGTATGTTCCAAATATAGCATGCAATGTACAATTTTAAGTTATTTTAATCTGAAATTTAAATTAATTGGTGGTTCTGTGTCCACTCAGTGGTTTATCCAGAATCTAAGGTGTATTCTCTTTCTTTTTTGGGCAGGACTGGGATTTGAACTCAGGGTCTCATGCTTGCTAGATAGACACTCTACCACTTGAACCATGCCCAGAGACTTATTTTCTTTTTAAGCTATTTTTCAGATAGAGTCTTGCATTTTGGCTCAGGGCCAGGCTTGGACTTTGATCTCTCTACCTCTGTCTCACTCATAGCTAGGATTATTGGAATGCACCACCAGGCCTGGCTTGTTCTTTGAAATAGGGTTTTGTTAACTTCTTGCCTGTAATCCTCCTATCTCTGCCTCTCAAGTATCTGGAATTAGAGGCAGGATCCACTGTACCTGGCTGGGGTCCTATATTTTATATGGTAATTTCTAGGATCATACCACTGTCTCCCTATGTCCGTAGCAGTAGATGAGAGATGGGCACTCAGGAGTGAGAAAGCTCATGGTCTATGTAAGTGAGTGGACATGCCCATGAAGAGCATCAGTGGAGCCAGGCCACCTGAGAACTACACGAGGCTCTGCATGCTCTAGCTGTGTAAGCCTGGAAAGTCTCACCATCCCTATGCCTCTACTTCCAAATCTGTAAAATGGGACAGCAGTACCTCAGAGGGTTAAATGAGCTAATATGCAGAACACTCTGGGAACAGTGTCTCTGGAGCAGCAACTGCTCTAAAGGAGTCCACAGTTTGGGTTCAGTTTGAGTTAAGCCTAGAGGTTGAATTGTCCCAAAGGGCAAGAGATGACATCCTATTTAAAAGGCTTGACTATGTAATTTAGGAGAGAGGATGCTGGTGGAGGATGAAGCCTCTGGCTTTGACAACATGATGATGGTAGCAATTTTGATGACAAAGAACAGTGCTAAGTGCTTATATTCAGCAATTCACATAGCCCAGTTTTTTTTTTTTTGGCAACTTTATGAGGCAAGCCCATACTACCCCTGGTCACAGACGACAAAACTGAGTGCTGATAGATTAAAAGGTTGTCATAGAGCAAGGATGTGAAGCCAGCACTCAGCAGCACCAATTTTCACATTTCTTGAACATGATGCTGCATCACCTCCCTGGGCTGCTGTTCACGTGGTCATGGTCGTGGTGGTGGGGGCTTCAGGGTGGTAGCTGGGAGTTAAGTTGTTTGTTTCCCCATGAAGGATATTGGTCATCTCTAACCCTGTCACTGATGTCTCTCCTGTGTCTCTGTACTGCCAGGGTCCCCTGAAGAGCGGTCTGTATTCATGAAGGCTTCTCGGAAAATGCTGGGACCGCAAAGGGCCTCTTCACCCCTTCTGGATCTTCTGGGGTCTGGGGGCTTTGAGGACCAGCCAGTGCAGCTCCAGCTTCTCCTGGCCAGGACACCTGTGTGGGGCCAGGACCTGCTGCTCCTTCTGCATGTCTGGAGGGTGCCAGACAGGGCCCACACTCAGGGTCCTGTCAGAGTGAAGGTGCACTTCTGTGCACAGGCCCTGCTGCATGGGGGCGGCGCTCGGCAGCCCCTCTGGAGGCAGATGACGCACTTGAATGTGGACTTTGGGAAGGGTGAGTATGAGGCAGGCCTGAGAAAGTGGCTGAAGGGAGGGGAGCTTTGGGTCCAACAAGCTGGGCCAAACCACAGAGGGCAACCCCTCCAAAAAAACACACACATCCCAGGCAGTAAAGCTACTGGTTGCTGCTGCACCTATGAGGCCATAACACCAGGTGAGACAGCAGGGAGCTCTGCAGGCATCTGTGCAGAGAAAGCACACTTTGTCTGTCTGTCTGTCTCTAGTCTCTCTCATGCACACACACACACAAACACATATTCTTGCTACCCAAAAACTAATTTTTTCTCTCTCTCTGATATATCTTTCCCCTCTCTCTCCCCTCACAACCTCCCCTCTCTCTCTTTTGTTCTTAGAGATACAGTTGCTGCTCCTGCTGCCCTACAGCAGTTACAGGAACAAGCTGACAGATGAAAAGCTGATCCGAGTGTCTGGCATCGCCAAGGTTGAAGAGACAGGACGCTCCATCCTGGTCCTAAAAGATTTCTCTCTGGAGCCTCCCCACTTGTCTATTGAGGTGAGGTCTCTGGACAGCGCAGGCATTTCTGTTGAAATCTAGTAGACACCTTGAGCTAGATGGCGGGAAAGGAAACAGGTTTCAACTTGGTGCTCATATCTGGGAAGTGGCAACTTCCTGGAGTCTCCTGACCTTCTAGAACAGACCCTGGAGTATCCTTAACCTTCTAGATTAATATGTGTTAATCTCAGACACTCTCAGCTCACTTCTCTCCCAGTGGTGGCACCTTAGCTCTAGGCAGCAGTCCCTGGTGGTCACCAGGGAGGCAGAGGAGGGAGGTTTCTGAGTGTAGTGCAGAAGTGAGGCCAGGTGCCTGGGACCTCTGTCTTCTCTCCACACAGGTGACTGAGAGGGCTGAGGTGGGCAAAACCCTGAGCGTCTACATCACCCTCACCAACACCCTAGCCGTGGCCCTGAGTAACTGCACCATGGTGCTGGAGGGAAGTGGCCTCATAAATGGGCAGGTAGCAAAAAAGTGAGTCACATGGCCATCCACCTCTTGTGCTGGTCCCTGAGAAGCGGTGCCTCATGGGGCCCTAGGACCCCCCTCAGTCTCCACTGGGTGCTCTTTGCCCCACTTTCCTCAGGAAAGGTAGAGCTCAGCACTGCTGAGGAGTGGGAGGTGCTTACCCACCAGGAGGGGGACCCCATTGCTCAACCAAGCTGTCACTCCTCCAGGCTCTAACAGAATGTTGTTTGGCATTCAGACTTGGGACCCTTATGGCTGGACACACCATCAAAATTCAGCTGGAGATCTACCCCATCAAAGCTGGTCCCCGCCAGCTACAAGTCCTCATCAGTAGCAATGAGGTCAAGGAAATCAAGGGCTATAAGGACATCTTTGTTGTCACAGCTACAGCTTCCTGATCCCTGTCCTGTCCCCTCCCCAGTTCCCCAGTCCCTTCCATCACGGCCTTACTTTTTCCTATTCCTGAACAAGTTAACTCCGCCCTGTGAGTGAATGAAGTTCTGTTAGAACCACCACACACTTTGGGAAGAAACAATAAAGGTGTCTTTATTTATCACTGATATTCTCTCTTCTGTGCCAACAAGCCACTTACTGCTACCAGGTGGTCCTCTGGGCATGGATTCCCAGAAGAAGGAAGCATCTTCCAGGAGAAAGATGACCTCAGTATGTATATTTTCTGGCTTTTTTCGTCTTTTCTATAAATTGTGACATTTCTATAGGGAAGGTGGAGACAGACTGAAAATTTCTCTGTCTGCAGTTTTGGCCAAATAAATTCATTTTTCCATTTCTCTGTAAATTACATCATTTTCTCATTTTGTCATTGTTGTTTGAACTTAGGGCTTCATGCTTGGAAGGCAGGTGCTTTGTCACTTGTGCCAAACCTCCAATCTATTCTCTCTGGTTATTTTGGAGATGGGAGGGTCTCGCAAACTATTTGCTTGGACTGGCCTCAAACCGAGATCCTCCCTATCTCAGCTCCCAAATAGCTAGGATTACAGGTGTAAACCATGAGTGCCCAGCTGTCATGCCGATGAGTGTTGGGCTCCACATTCAGGCTTTATGGCTGGAGTTCTGGTCACGATAATGACAAATTCATACATCTCTTTCGTAGATAATTTAGAAAATCCAAAAAGCAGAGCGTTTTCCTGTCGGTTTTCAGGTGCAGGCCCTTCACTCAATTGGCTCCTCTCACCACTCTCCTTCCTGACTCCTCTTCCTCTCCTGTCCTTTTCCCTTTATTTACCCCTGCTTTTCTGCTTGCTTGTTTGCTTGTCCCCCTTCCCCTTCATCCCCCTTGCTTGTCTTTTTCTGTCAGGGTGTCACCCTCGTCTGTGTGTCAGACAAGAGTGCTTGGTATCAGCACCCTTCTGATACTAGCCCTGCTTGGTATCAGAAGAGCAGGAGCCTGCTCGCTCTCCTCCACCCTGTGTGCCTGTCCTCATTAAGCGTCACTACCTCATCACTGCTGTCTTCTAGATGGCTTCCTGTCCTCCAAACAGGATCACCTGTGTTGGCCCTTGCAGAAATGGGATACCTTGCTTCTCTGCCATGTGTCCTCCTCTGCTTAGTCAATGCCTTTCTGTCTTGTCCCTGATGGTGTCATTGGAAGGGGAACAGTAGTCAGGTTGCCTACAGGCTTCACCTCTTTTCAACCAAAAAATTTGCCTTAAAAGTCAGGCTGTGCAGTGTTTTCTTCTTTTCACTTGGGCAAGCCCATCACCTGGCGTTGTTTGCCTCCTTAGTTGGATGAGGAGGTTATGTCAAATCTCCATTCCAGCTTGACATTCCATAGGCCCAGAGAGTGCAGTACATCCCACTGTGTGGCATACCTAAAGTGATCCTTAGTGACCCTCCCTCGCCTCACAACAACCCAGTGAGGCCAACTGATGGGACCAGGAAGGAACTTCCACAAACAGTAGTAAAAGGATTTTTCAGACGATGGAACAGGAGGTAGCACAAGTCAGGCCAGCAGCACGGCTCCTGACTGGTCTTCCTGTCCCCTTTGGGGTATGCAGAACCCATAATTCTCAAGTCCTCTAGGCTGGCAGTTTTGAGGTCTGTGACATCCATCATCAATGTGTGATACAAAGCAAAGAGCTCTCAACTCCAAGGTGAGACCCTAGTTTCCTTGGGTGTAAGATGACATTAGTCATGCCAGTCCACCTTCGCCCAGGACTGCTGTGAGGACCAAATGGGAAAGTGGACTCTGAAATGGTTTGTAAAGTGTGAGGCTCATTCACACATTGAGGTCCCCTAATGGATTTCATCTCTTCTCCTGGCTGGGAAGAGGGTGGGGATAGAGGAATCCACTTGGATCTGCCAATTCCCTTTGTGACCATCTGCAATGAACCTCCTTACTCTCCCCTCCCCTGGGAGCCCAGGTATCATGGCCCCTGACTTTATAGACAAGAAAACCAGAACTTTCCCAAAGGAATTCATTGCAAGGTCAGAACTGGCTCCCAAGTCTCTCTGGGTCTTAGAAAGGTCTAGAGGTCCCCCATCCCCACCTTGCTTGAGCTGGCCTGACCCATGGGGATGACATGTATGTCCACCTCCCTACTCAAGTGTTCCCCTCCTGAGGTCACAGCCCAGCTTCTATCCAGGCAGGAAGGTGCTCATCAACTCTCCCTTGGACCAAGGGACAGGCTGCTCTATCCGAGATGCCTCCCCACACCTCCCCACACGCCCTCTGACTAATGGTTTACAGGAATCCGATGGAAGGTTAAACCTGTAAAACAGCTCATTTGGCCCAGAGCCCAGGGCTTGTTCAACCTCCAGGGTCCAGGCAGAGAAACCACTGTGGGTTTTCCTGGCCCCATGAATGGACTTTGTGCCGCTGGAACGCTTCTACATCCTCTCTCCTGTCCAGTGTCTACCACAGACATACCTTCTCAGAGTGCCTCCTGACCATGTGAGGTCCTTTGGGGGAGGCTGGGTATAAATGGCCTGCCCTCTGCTCCAGCTGTGGGGAGGGCTTGGGAGTTAGGTACAGCTGTCCAGAGTTCAGGCCACTCAGGCTGGGTTTTTACTCACAGTGGCCAATTGATGGCTTCAAAATCCTCTCAGCTTTCCCCAGCTGCTCTAGCCTGGCCCCAAGGGCACCATGTTGCCACCTTGGCTATTGGGCTCCTTCTTCTTTGGCCACCATACACTTCCAGACCTGCTGTACTCACCTTCCTATCTCCCTTCACATGGACTTCTGTCCCTTCCCATCTCAGCATATAGCAGTGGGTTCAGGTACTGATCCCTTTGTTCATGCATGGATCATCTTTTAATTCATTTACTCCATCAGGGAACAAATATGAACAGGAATACTAATGATGTTTGAGATGGAGCGCTCAGGAAGCTCTCAAGTCTGAGTACAGTACAAAGCTGACTCACCAGTTCTTCATGAAGGATCTTGGGAAGACTCGATTTCCTCATCTGTAGTATAGGAACAACAAGATACTCCTAACTCATGAGGTGTTGTAAGATTGAGAGGGATAGTGCCCAGAAAGAATTTAAACACTAAGTGGCACTTAAAAGCTATTACTATTTCTATTGGTAGTTCTACTACCAATATGACAATAATTATCCATTATCATATTAATAAGACACACTCCATGCCCTCAAGTAAGACTGGAAGAAGGATGGGCTGGTTTTATAATGTCCAGGAATAAGTTGGCTAATAGAGAATGCAAGAGAACAAGCCCCTAACTCCTGGTTTGGTAGATGGAAAGTGTCAGGAAGACTTCTTGAGGAGTGATGCTATAGTCTGGAGACTGGAGAAAGTAGACAAGGAGAAAGGGGAACATTTCAGAGACAGAGAGAAGAAGGAGAGAGAGAGAAAGAGAGAGATAGAGAGAGAGAGAGAGAGAGAGAGAGAGAGAGAGATCTCCTAACACAGAGAGAATAGTCTGCACACTCAAGGCTATAGGAGACCCCCCAACCAAGATAAGAGTAGGAAAGGGTGTCTGGCCATCAGAGGGGACATGTGAGAGTGGTATCTGTCTGGGGGCAGAGGCAGACTGCAGTGAGGTGAAGGGCAGGTGGGAAGCAAAGCAGTGGGCTTGGCCAAGCGGTGGAGTTGAGAAAGGATGGGAGCGGAAGGTGACATTGGGTAAAGGGAGGTAAGGGGTTGACGGAGGGTGCAGGTGTGTTAAAGCAGTGACTTGTGAGGCTGAAGGTGATGGTCAAGCAATAGAACACCTGCTTAGCAAGCGTAAGGCCATTAGTTCAAACCCCAGTACCACAACAAAACACTCCCCCCAAAGAAAAGCCCACAAAAATTAATTAATTGTATTTATGTATGTATATATTGTTAGAGCTGAATGGGGACAGGGAGAGTTGAAAATACAGGAGAGAGAAAATGCTGATGAGTAGGTTCTTGAGAGTGGAGGACCCAGAGACAGGGGGATGCAGGGAGAAGCACCTCACAGCAGGAAAGGCAGGGCAGGTGGGAGTCTCCACCTCACTCAGGGCCCTTCTCCTTCCTCCCCTCTCTCTTCCCCCATCAGAGTTTTGCTCCCTGTGCATTCACTCCAAGTACTCATTGGTTTTAGTTTTTTATTGCTGATTTATTTGCTTGGCCATACTGGGGTTTGAACTCAGGGCCTTGTGCTTGCTAGGCAGGTTCTCTACCACTTGAACCATGCTGCCAGCCCTGTCTGCTTTAGTTACTTTTTTGAATAAGGTCTTGCTTTTATTGCCTGGGCCAGCCTGGACCACCATCCTCCCAATCTCAGCCTCCCAAGTAGCTGGGATTACAAGTAGCTGGATTATAGTGAGCCACTATATCCTTTTCTTATTAGGACAAAATCCTAGCTCATTGGCATTCCATCCTCTCACCTGTTTCCAAAACTCTTACATGAATCTTCCCAGCATTCCTTCCTCTACTACTTCTATTTGAGATTCACCTTGGACCTGGAAGGTGTCACCCAAAACAGTACCACTTCCAGAAAATAAATTCAGTGAATTCTTGTCAAGGGCAATCCAGAGTGAGTTTTGTTTGCATTTTATATCCAGAAAGTGACTCTTTGGAATAAAAGAGAGAGCACAGATGCGGGGCAGGTTTGCAGGCTCACTGAGCTCTTAGTTGTTAGGGTACTGGGACCTTGACACCTCTTCCTGTAGGGGCACAGTCCCCTCCAATCCTCCCTGGAAGCCCCATAAATTCTCCTCTTCATACTGGATTCCCCTCACAACACAGCATCTTCCAGGAAATGCCCTGTTGCCCAAGAGTTCTCAAAGGCCCACATGGCACAAGGCCCTGATGGTTCCTAGGCTTCCACACCTCCTTTCAGCTGAGCAGCACTGCCAAGAAAAACCAGAGGGCAAGTGAGAAAACCAGTTGTGATCTGCCCTATAAGAGGTGGCAGGGCAGCAGCCTGGCCCCGCCTTCAATGTCTCCAGGAGTGTTGGGATGGAAGGGGAAGCAGACATTCTAGGATCAATTTCCTGAAGCTCCAGTCCCCTTCCAGCTATTCTGTGGGGAGCATCCCAGGAGTCCAGAAGCAGCCACCATGGCCCAAGGTAGGAAAGCCCATGGGGTCATTAGAATGTAGGGACCAGAAGGACACAGAGAAGACTGTAATAGTGAAGGGCAGAAGGGTAGGTTCAGAGGAAGAAAGGAGTAAATACAGAGCTGACCCAGGAAGAGTAGAAACCCCAGAATTCTCAGAATTTATTGGTGGAGGCAGGGTGGAAGACAGGTAAACACAGCTGCATGTCAACACTGCTGCTCCCACACCTGCCGGGTGAGACAGGCAAGATTAGGGGGAAAGGATTCCTATCCCTCCCTGGCACTGGCTAACCTTTTATCCCAAAGTAAGTCAGTTCTTTAGTTTCCAACCTCCCATGCCTGAAAAATGGAAGGGGTTGGACCACAGTCTCCAGGTTGTCTTCTAACTCCAAAGTTCTCTGGATCTTATATCTTGTCTTCCTCCCTCATCTTAGTTAGTCCTCCTGCCATCATCATTCTCTCTATATCATCCCCCTCTCTCTAGAAAGAGCTACTATGAAGATTTAATGGTTAGTTGAAACCATTTACAGGGATGAGCTTTTACCTTGCTCTACAAATGTAACAATCTCATCTTCATTTAAACTGTGTTTCAATTTCTATTTCAAAATTTGCACAACTTTTCATTATGGAAGAAATATATAAACACTTATATTGGAGTAAAATAAAGCAATAATTATAGATAAACTCCAGTTCCAACCTTTGGCTTTTTTTCACTCAACAGTATGTTTTTGTTTTATTTTTGGCGGTACTAGTGTTTGAACTCAGGTTCTCATGCTTGCTAGGCAAGTGCTCTGCCACTTGAGCCGCACACTCAGCTCAACCAGCATGTCTTGGAGCGCTCTCCATGCCAATCAGACCTGTAGATGTCCCTCAATATTTTCCACTTTGCATAGTATTCCACAGTAATGTGTATAAATGATTTATTTATCCCCTAATGATGGGCACTTAGGTTGTTTCTAATTTTCAGTTATTCAAGCAATATTGCAATGAACTTTCTTATGCATGGCTCTTGGTACCCATGAGGGAACGTCTTTCTAGGACAGATTGAGACCACTTCCTTTAAAAGTTCTCCTACTATCTCCTTGTTATTTCCCTGTTAGTTAGATGTTGCCACGCCTGCTGGGTAGCCTGAGTCATGCGCCAACCTGAGAGGAGCCAGGTAGTAGTCTCTGCCTAGTCAACTAGTCCCTAAAAGGGTGAGCTTCTTTTTCTACTACTAGGAAAAAGCCAAGTGGCTTCCCAATTGACAGGGTCAAGATGTTCTTTCCAAACATGAGTGAAAACCAGCAACGGGCACCTACTGTCGGAAGCGGGAAAAATACTGGACTTGGGTCAGGATCCTGGGTTTAACCTAAGGCAAAACATTTCATCATGGGGCTGGGAGCACGGTGCAAGTGGTAGAGAGCTTATTAGCAAGTGTGAGGTCCTGAGTTCAAACCCCAGTACCACCAAACCAACAAAGCAAAACATTTCCTCTACCTGAACCTTGGTTTTCTCATATCTGAGCGTGAATGACATAACATTTTGTCCCTCCAAGGCTCTGAGGAGGACTAAATAAGATAACTGTCCTGGACTGCCTAGCACAGTGACCAGACCAGAATAGAAAGACCTGGGTAAAGTGCTGAAAGAATATGAAATCTGAAATAAATACCAGGTGATTTTGCAAAAGATAGAGAATTCTATTCAGCCTAGCAAACCTTTCTGAGTATCTACAATGTGCTTGTCATTATGCTTTTATCTCTTTTATAATAACAACAACAATAATAAGCTATTTTATGAAAAAGATGTATGTTCCCAGTAATCAAAAGGAACTCAGAGATATTTAAGAAGACATCATTTAATATTTATTAAGGTATTTAAATACAGTTGATTTGGTTCATAGTTGCTTGTAACAGCTTTATTCGAATATAATTCATACACCATAAAGGTCATCCATGTGAAGTATACAATTCAGTGGGCTTTACAATATTCACGAAGTTTTGCAAGCATCCCCACTATCTAGTTCCAGAACATTTTCATCACCTCAAAAAAAAAAGAACCTATATCCATGAACAGTCATATCCTATTTCACTTTTCTCTACTGCTTGGCAATCTCTAGTCCACAGTCTGTTTCTACAGATTTACCTATTTCAGGTAAATGGAAACATATAACATGTGTCTTTTGGGGTCTGACTTTTTTCACTGAGCACAATGTTTTCAAGTTTCATCCATGTGGTAGCAAGCACAACATTCCTTTTTGTGACCAAATAATATTGCATTGTATGGATATACCACACTTGGTTTATCCATCAGTTGATGGACATTTGTGTTGTCACATTTTGCCTACTGAGAGTAATTTTGCTGTGACCATTCCTGTACATTCGTGTGAGCATGTGTTCTTCTTTCTTGGGTATAAGCCTAGGGGCCAATTGCTGGGTCACATGGTAACTCTATGTTCAACATTTTGAGAAACTGCCAGCATTCTTGAAAGTGCTGCACATTTTACAAACCCACCAGCAATGCATGAGGGTTCCAATTTCTCTGCATCTCTCTCACACTTGTTATTGTCTTTCTTATTATAACCATCCTAAGGGGTATTTTCCTAAGGCTACTGAGTGTCTTGTCATGTGTTTATTGGCCTCTCTCACATTTTCTTTGGAGAAATGTCTATTTAGGTCAGCTACCCTTCAATTCCCATCCTTCATCCCAGGTACTAGATTGAATCCATACTTGCTAGGCAAACACTCTACTACTTGAGCTACACACCCCCTATCCTTGTGTTTTTATCTTGTTTCTGAGGTAAGGTCTCAGAACTAACTTTGCTTCTGGTGGCCTTGAATTCCAATCCTCCTCTCACTGCCTCCCAAGTATCTGATATTCCAGATGTATGCCTCCAACCCCAGCTAGCTACCCATTTTTTGTTAGGGTTATTTGTCTTTGTACTGTAGAGTTATCCTGTATTCGTATGTAAATACAGATAGGTAGACAAACACATATGTCATGTGTGAACAGAGATGATTTCTTCTTTCCAATCTTAAGGTTTTTTATTTCTTTTCCCTGCCTAATAGCTCTGGCTGGAAACTCCAACACAATGTTGTATCCAATAACAAGACAAGAATAGACAACAACAGGCATCCTATTCTTGTTCCTTATCTTAGTAGGAAAACATCCAGTCTTTCACTACAAAATATGGTTAGCTGTTGGGTTTTATAGATACCATTTACCAGGTTGAGGAAACTCCCTTCTATTCTTAATTTGTTGAGCATTTTTTCATGAAAGGGTGTTGGATTTTGTGAAATGATGTGGTTCACTTATTTTTTTAAATCTAAACACAGCCAAGACAAAGTAGCTGGATCTCTGACCTTACTAGAAAACATCTAGTGTTGAAAGACAGACAAAAATCAACCAGGAAAACAGCTGAGCTCCTCATGCTGAGACTGAAATGAGAAGGCTCACAGCAAAAATTTGTTGATATAAATGAATAAATGAGCATGATGCATAAATTAACTTGTCAATTAAGCAGTTAAGATTCACAGTGCTTCAGTCAGGTGCCAGTGGCTCAGGCCTATAATCCAGCTACTTAGGAGGCAGAGATCAGGAGGATTACAGTTCAAGGCCAGCCTGGGAAAATAGTTTGAGAGACCCTATCTCAAAAATTCCCAACACACATGAAAAGGGCTAGTGGAGTGGCTCAAGTGGTAGAGTGTATGCCTAGAAGGCATTAAGTCCTTAGTTCAAATCCCATTACAACTAAAAAAAAAATGGATTCCCAGTGTTTCAGTGAAATGCTATAGATCAGTAGGAAAGGAGAGCAGGGTGGGCCAACTGGAGCAGGTATGAGGGAGGTGGGTTTAGAGGACAGTAAAATTTGATGAAATAGTGAGGGGGCAGTCTGAGTCGGTCTGTAGCAGAAACAAAATACACAGACAGTAGGTGTACCATTTGTTTGGGATAATTGACTGGAGAAGAGGACTGATGCCAACAGTAGTGAGACATGAGAATACAGATGTAGGTTAAAGTCAGGTATGGAGGTCTTAAGTGTCAGGTAGAGGAGTATTTTTTTTATATGGTGGACTGTGGGGTATCTTAGAACTTCTAAAGCAAAAAGATGGCACTTCAAATTATCTCGAGGAAAGGTAATCTGATGATATATTAAAGGAAGGTGGTGGGGAGAGATACAGGAGGCAGAAGTCCTGCTGGAGGCTGTTATAGTCACGAGAAGTGCGTTAAGGAATGTGAAAAATTATGTTCACAATGAACACCAGAGATGTTTAATCGAAGGACTGAAGGGACCTGGTGACATATCAATTGATATAGGCTGAGAAAGAGCAAATTGTAATTTGAAGACCGTGAACCTACCCACAGGTGACTGGGGACCATGACAAGACCATGGTTAAACAAGAAGTCAGAAACATGAGAGGTCAAGATAGGAGGATTGTGAGTTTGAGGCCAGTCTGGGCTATACAGCAAGACTCTGCCTTAAAAAATCAAAACGAAGTCAGAAACAGAGCCCTTCTGGGACAGGCATACTTAGAGAATAGCGAATTCAGACTGTGTTTTAGCAGAAGCTCCAGAAGACTGAGAGGAGTGCGTTCTTTGACTTTGCTCAGCATCCACGATCTCAGGATATGGTGCACATGGCATTGGTGGTGGTCAGACAGCCACCAGAATGCTAAAAGTAGGGCAGGTAATCCAGGGGCCACTAACCTAGGGTTTTGCTCCCAGGTTTGGAGCTGGGACAGGAACAAGTGAAACTTAACTTGATTCCAAGAAAGTGGATATTGTGGTAATCTGAAGGCATGCTGGGGTGAAGGGAGCAATCAAACTTAGGTAGGTTGACAAAAGAAGTTAGAGGCAGACACCCATGCACCTTCAAGAGGGTCTAAGAAAGAAGGGGTAGAGAGTCAGAGAAGTAGGGGTAGAGAGTCAGAGAAGTAGGGGAGAGAGGAAGAAAGAAGGAAAGAGCAAATTATAAACTCTATCAGGCTGGTATGATGGACTCTATTTTACCAACATGGAAACAGATGCAGAGGCTAAGTTTTGTTCTCAAGTTTTCACAACTAGTAAGTAGTGGACAGGATTGGACCAGGATCCATAACCACACTCTTTTGCCTGTCCCTGGTGCCCCCATTGCAGGGTTGGAGGTGGCCCTCACCGACTTCCAGAGCTCTTGGAATAACGTGAGGCACCACACAGACGAGATCAGCGTTGACTCCCTCCTTGTCCGTCGGGGCCAGGCCTTCAACATCACCCTTTACTTCAGGAACCGGGGCTTCCAGCCAGGCCTGGACAACATCATCTTTGTGGCTGAGACTGGTGAGAACCTCAGCTGACCAAAGGGTGTGTGTTTTGGGGGATGGAGGTCACCATAGAGAGCTTCAGCTCTATTCCTTCGCAGGGCCCCTGCCAGAACTGGCCAAAGGCACTCGGGCAGTGTTCAGCCTGGCAAGCTGTGGTGGACCCAGTCCCTGGATCGCCTCACTGGAGACCAATGGGGCCACCTCAATGGAAGTGAGCCTGCGTGCCCCGCCCATGGCAGCTGTGGGTCGGTATGTCCTGAAAATTCATATCAGCTCCTGCCAGGGGTCTGTCACAGCCTACCAGCTCGGGGAGTTCATCCTGCTCTTCAATCCCTGGTGCCCAGGTGAGGCAGATGTCCACACAGGACTCCTTCATCTCTGTCTCTCTGTCCATGTTGCCAGATAGCTAGGCCCAAGGGTTTCCAGCCCCCAACTCCTTGGTCTCTCAGCATCCACTCCCAACCGCCACCAACTAGGATGGATGACCTTGCTATTTATTTACTTATTTAAAATTTAAAAATAATGTACCCAAGAATCTTAAATAGACCCCTGCTAACATCTACTGTCACTGTATATTTTTAAGTTAACTTGAATTTTTTTCATTTTAAAAGTAGTAAATGCACTACATTGAATATTTGAGGAATGAAATAAAGGATAAGACTGAAAAAAAAACAAGGAAAAAAGAAAAGAAGGAAGGAAGGAAAAAAGAAAAGAAGGAAGGAAGGGAGAGAAGAAGGAAGAAAGGAAAGAAAGAGAGAGAGAGAGAGAGAGAGAGAAAGAAAGGTAAAGGCAAAAGACAAAACCTGCCTGTCTCTAAGTTCCATCCTCCAGTGGAAACCCTGCTAACATTCTCTTGTATAGTCTTATAAAAGTATTCTATACTTAACTAAATATGCACGCACATGGTTATCTGTATGTGTGATTCTATAATGCACACCATAAGTGGAGTTACATAATACATATCAGTCTCCACCTTACTTTTTCCATTTAGATATTCAATATATTTTCCTATCAGAACATTTTTCTTAAGTTACAATCTCCACTGCTTGGATGCACCACGTTTTTTTTTAACTAGTTCCCTTTTTTGGAGCATTTTGACTGTGTCCAGTTTTTCTCTTGTACAAAGGCACACTGAACATACCAGCAACACTTATTCCACAAGCCCAGTCCACCAAATCCACCTTGGAATGGCAATAGATACACAGGGAGACATAAGGACACAGTGTGGGCAGAGGGCAGGAAGGGCCAAGAGCAGAGGATGGGTCTGCTGTGCTTTGGGCAGGGGCCAGACTCAATTAAGTCTTACTTCTGATGTGGAGAAAAATCCCCTTGCCACCCTTCCTCTCCTTCTACCTTCTCCCCCGATGTTATCCCAGTGGGGCTGCTGGGTCATGTCAGGCCCCAGAACCCAGCTGGTTTCTGACAGTGCACTATCTCCCACCCTCTCACTGAATACTCAGAACTACACTCACCAGCTGGGCGAAGAAGCCTGCCCTGGATCAAGTAGAGCCAGTTGTCTGATTTCTGTATATGTGCGTGTGTGTGTGTATCTCTCTCTCTCTTTCTCTGCCTCTCTCTAATACACACAGATAGACAGACAGACACACGCATGGATGGTGGACTTCAGACCTGTACTGAAGGCATATCTGAGCAGTGAGGAGGACAGTGTGGTTTGTATCACACCCATGTCCTTGGTGTAGGAATGGTAGGGTCATACCCTTGGTATGGACCAGTAAGGGCTGCAGTCACTGCATGGGATATTGGCTGGGAAGTTCCACTCTGTAGTTCAGAGGTATTTGTGGTCTCAACCATGAACCTACAGCTTCTCACCACACTGGTCCAAACCCTTGGTAAAACACAGCTCAGCAAGGAGTCCTCCTGCACCAGTGTCCATCAGTTGTGTCTGAGGCTGCCTCTCTGGGGGACAGGAGGGCCCCTTCATCTCAGACTCATGCCTCCACAGAGGTACAGAATATGGAGAACAATAATAAACAAAAAGCAAAACAAAAACAATTACTATTTATTAATAATTATTAATTACCAATTACTAACAGTTAATTTCTTTGGGGATAGGCTTCAGAATTCTCTGTTCATGTGTGTGTATATTTTTAACCAAAGTCAATTCGTGCTGTGCATTATCTTACAACCTGTTTAAACTGAGTGCATCACAGGTAGATTTGCATGTCTACACATACAACTTTGCTGCCTTACATTAAACCTGTGTGGAAAGAACTCTGTGGTGGAGATGCCTTGAAGTTATTTAACCAGTTCCCAAGAACAAGGCATTTTGGCTATTTTGCATGTTTTCAGCATTATAAACAGCACTCAGACAAGGAGCTTTGTATCTAAATCTTTGTGTGCAACCTAAATACTCGTCTTCGAATTCATTCCAGCACCAGGGATGATGAGGTCAATGTCATGTTTTGATTTGTTCTTAGTTAAATGTAGCAGAAAACACAGAATATAGAGTTACTTGTCTTTGTGTTCAAATGCCTGCTCTCTACTTATGTGTGATTTAATCACTCTGAGTCTGTTTTCTCAACCTGGAGATAGGACTAGAATGTTCATATGTTTTGTAAACTAAGAAATTTCATCAAAAGTAAGCTTATATTATTCTGCCTCATGTTCATATTGAGCCTGTTCCCATGATCTACTCCAACCCCACCCCATCACCCTCTGTGTCATCAGGTGCCCTGTCAGATTCCATGGGACTGTGAGGCTAGGAATGGGGCACAAGGCAAGCTGACTTGAAAATGGGTCCTCCCATTTTCATTCCTAGGGGATGCTGTCTTCTTGGACAGTGAACCTCAGAGGCTGGAGTATGTTGTGAATGATTATGGCTTCATCTACCAAGGGAACAAGAACTGGATCCGTCCGTGCCCCTGGAACTACGGACAGGTGGGTCTCAGCCCATCCAGGCCCTGGGTTGTGGGCAGAGTGGAGCAGGAGCAGGGCGAACGGCTAGCCAGTGCTAACTAATGGCACCAGAAAGGCCCAGGTTGCTACAGGAAAGGCCCCAGGGAGATGAGAGGTGAGTTCTTCACTGATCACCTCTGACTTGAACAGCAATATCTAAGGAGAAAGGGCAGTTGAAGGCTGTGCCATTCTACCAGGATGACAGTGAAGATGAAAGGGACACGATCACAACATCAAAAATGGTGCCTGGAATTTTTGTGTTTTAAACTGTGTTTCCTGTGGGGTCCCACTTTCTGCTCTCTGACTGCATCCTCACAACCTCATCAAATCTGTCTCCCTGATGAAAATTTGTCTCTGAACATCTCAGCCAGAAGAAGGGCCACTGAACAGCAATGCATCTGCCCTGACTACACGACTATGGCCTCCTTATTTATTTGTTTTGATGACAGATCTTTTCATTACAAATAATGTTTAAAAAACTTTGCAGAGCTAGGTGTGGTGGCACATGCCTTGTAACCCACTTGGGAGGCTGAGGCAGGAGGCGGGAAGATCTTGAGTTGGAGGTCAGCTTGGGCTACATAACAAGTTGAGGCCATCCTGGGCTACATAGACCCTGTCTCAAAAACAAAGAAACAGACAAAAACTTTGCAAGGAAGCATTATAAAAGTGGACGCCTAGAACACAGCCATCCTAAGCACTGTTACCAACTGAGTATATGTTCCTTTATACTTTGTTTTGTATACATACTCTAAATGTGATTTGATGCATAAAAATAGTGTCCTACCTGTTAAAATGATTGGCACCTCTTATGTTTCTAAAAGTCTGCCTCTTGTTTAAAGCTCAATCCCCAGCAGGTGCACTAGGAGGTCTAAGGCCGGCTAGGGAAGAGCCCTCTCGAGGCTGAGTCCTGGCTCGAGAAGCACTGAGGTAGGGAGAGGATCAGCCCTCGGGCACTCAGAAGGGGTGTCAGCTGGGACACAGACCTTATATCAGCTGGATATGGGTCCCTGTCCTGGACTTTCTCCCAAATAGAACTCCTTCAGGCCCATCCCAGGCCCAGGGTGGCTATAGTCCATTGAAGACATTGCAGCCTTGACTGGCCCCATCTCACTTCCCCGGCTCCTCACTCAGCATAGGCATTTGGGGATGCTTTGGACCCCTGGAGAAGCGCTTGCTGTCACTCATCAGAAAAAGAAGTGCTTCTTTCTGAGCCTAGCTCCCTCCCCTCTTCAGTAAGTGCCTGCTCAGTGCCAGGAAGGATTTTAAGTGCTAGAGACATGAAAACAAATAAAACACTGTCCTCGATCCTATAGTGTGATGGGGACCCAGATACATAACTAGGTTGTTTGTACATAGCAGTAGAGAGACAGGCACAGAACATTCTGGGAACCAGGAGGAAGGCTAGTGGAGGAGCAGGAGGTACTGAAGGTGCACCCTGGGAGAGAAGACGGTTGAGCTGAGTGAAGGCAGAGGGCAGGATGAACAAAGACACAAAGGCCAGAAACAGTTTGACCTGCTGCAGGGGTTACAAGGAATTTGGTGTTGCTGGAGCAAAACCAGTGCTGTGGGGGAGTGGAAGGGCTGTAGAGACAGAGACTGGAATGAAAGCTCCAGCCTCCTTTAGGAGTCACCTAAGTCCCTCCTAGACCTGGCTCCCACCTCGCTCTCCAATCTCTCATCCCCATTTTAAAGTAGAAAAGTGAGCTGGTCAGCCTAACCCCTGAGAAAGATGGATCCGAGAAGCCTCCTAATTCTATTGCTACTGAAACACAGAAATACATTCACTTACACCCATTTAACAAAAATGTATAGTGGCCTTACTATGTGCTGGGTGCTGCACCAGGGTCTGGGGTCCAGAGTTGTGAAAAGAGCTGGATTAAGACAGCATACACTCAAGCAGGAAAGAAGGACCTTGACTACATCATATAACTGAGTCTGATGAGTACAGGAGATGTACCCAGGGCTGCAGACCTAAACCACGCACAGGCTCAGGGAAGACCTCAGAGGAAAAAAAGTCTTACACTAGGCCTAGACAAGCCAGACTACCTTGGGTGGGAAGTTCCATAACTCACACGTGATTGGTCATTCCAGAGCCCCAGTGGGTTGTGGGAACCATGGCATGTTGGCACCATCAGAGCATGGCTGCCAGCGATAAGCTGGGACATAGGTGAGTGTGGAAGAAGAGGCAACACTGTTCTAGCAAGAGCATTTCAGAGGCTCCAGGAACATGGAGAAGGAGGGGAGAAGAGGGAGAAAGAGAATTTCCAGCCAAGCAGACTCATTGGGAAAACCCAGCAGTAGCAACAGTCACTTTGAAATTAAGGGGGAGGGATTTGACTTTCAGAGCATTCATGTCAAGTGTGTGACCCCAGAACTCTGACACTCCACACCTGCTTGGGAAGTCATTCGTGGTTGTTCTGTCTGCCAGTTACCTTCCAAATGGATCTTATTGCACAGACACACTCCACTGGAGGGCTGGGTGGGTGGGTTGTGTATTTCTTCATGTATTCCCACATGCAAGAATGGCTGCTTCTCTTCTCTGTACTTCCTCCTGCAGTTTGAAGAGAATATCATAGACATCTGCCTGGAGCTGCTGGACAAGAGCCTGCACTTTCAGATCGACCCAGGAACGGACTGTGCCCTGCGGGGAAGCCCTGTCTACATCAGCAGAGTGGTGTGCGCCATGGTGAGATCCCTGCTGTACTCAGGGAGGGAGGAAGCTGTTACAGGGAGATATCTGCCTTCTCACAGTTGCTCCCTGCAGTGGGGGAAATGAAGAGTCAAGAGGCAGGGCCTTTCTACCAAAGCCATTTTGGGTGAGGCTAACCAGAATGTGGGTAACCAGTTTTCTCACCGGAGATCTGAAGTAGCTGGGCATGGGCCATCACCTCCATTAATTCCAAATTGCATGTTTTGGAAAAGCTTGGGAAGTTGTCTTGTTGTTCCTAGATTTCCTTTGTTAGATATTTTTCAAAGTACCCTCAAAGGACTGGAATGTAGGTCTGGGTCTCAGGCCCATCGCATCTAGGCAAAGGACATTTCTAAAGCTTCTATCCATGGCTTCTCTTCAGATCAACAGCAACGATGACAATGGGGTACTCAATGGAAACTGGAGTGAAAATTACACGGATGGTGTCAACCCTGCAGAGTGGACTGGCAGTGTGGCCATCCTGAAGCAGTGGCATGCCACAGGTTGCCAGCCAGTGCGCTACGGACAGTGCTGGGTCTTTGCTGCTGTCATGTGCACAGGTAGGAGGTGAAAATGGTCCTAGGGAAGACCAAAAGTGTTCGTGTAAGAGTCTCTGAACCATTCTTGTCCCGGTCTCACAGTTCCCAGCAAGTGACATTCAGAAGGAAGCCCTTTCCTGCTAAATGGTCTAATCACAGACCTTAGGTCTCACAAAATTGGGCTTATTTTAAACACCAGTGTCTAAAATAAAGAGGAAATCACACACATCCCAAGACTTAGTGCCCGTCCCTTCTTCTGAACTCATGCAACCTAACAAAATATTCCTAAGAGACTTGAAATTGTTCCAGTACAAGAGAGACCTGAGATGAAAGGCCAAGTAACTGAATTGTGCCTAAATACAGATAATGGGCTGAATGAAGATGTGCACACGGAAGGGAAATGTGGTTTTGGGCTGTGGTCTGGGCTGTGAGACTAGAACAAGATGGCAGGCCAAGTAGAATGACCTTGAATTTGGGGTTGTCACAAGGTCAGAGGGAACTAGAGCTCTGACTCAGGCCAGGGAGTTAAAGGACGAGGGTGCGAAATGGGAGATCAGCTTTTCAGTCAGGGAGTGGATACTGCATTCATAGAAGAGAAGCTAAAAATACATACAGGGTACAGAAGGCAAATGGTAGAGGGTTTGTGTGTGGCAAGAGGAGTAAGCAGAAAGAAGAAGGAGGAGGAAATCTTGAGGGAAGTGGGTCACATACTGGAGGTGACAGGGAAGCCTTTCTGCTTTGCCTAGCACCACCCTCCTGCTCCTGGTCCTCACCCTGGCTCTGCCCCATGCCTAGGCCAGTTCTAAGCCTCTTGATATGCCCGTCCATGTGCCTAAGTGTTATTCATGTTAGCTGAGGAAAGACAACAGGTAAGGCTGTCACTCACAGGACTATAGGAGAAGCCAGGGAGACCAGCTCTGCCCATCACTTGGTGTTTACTGAGGGCTCAGGCCTTCTGTGTAGAAATTCTGTGTGATAAGCTTGGTACAGTCTATGTGTACTTGGCCAGTTTCTGGGCTCTTAGAGGAAGTGACATCCCTGGAGAAAGCCCATAGAGCCCCAGGCTACTGAACACAAAGCACTAGTCCTTTGTCCAAGGGCACAAGATCTCTGTCAACACCGACAGTGTCTTCAGAGTGAGTTGGTGATGATGAAGTCCCAAGTATACACATCCTCTGAGCTGTAGGGCCTAATCTTGAATCCAAAGCTTTGCTGGCATAGGGATAAGAAGCAAATAATTCAACAGTTTTGATACCAAAAGCCATAGAGTCCAGGGTAAAATGCAATGTCTGAATCAATCAGAAAGCAAATGCAAGACTGATAGGCAGAGTATGGAACTTGTGCAAGATAAAAAGGGAAGTTTCCAGTGTGTGGAAAAACTGTGTCTCATGGGCCAAGAGTGTGTGTGTGTGTGTGTGTGTGTGTGTGTGTGTGTGTGTGTGTGTGTGTGGAGGGAGGGAGCCAGGTTTGGGTGTGGTTGTCTAGAACTGGGTGATGAGAGAGGTGGAGACAGTGAATGGAGGTTATGCAATAACAGCAGAGCAATTAAAATGTTTATGAGAATTGTGACCCTTCAGTGACCTTGGAAACAAGCAAAGACCGTCAAACATGGCCCAGTCCATTTGCAGCTCAATCAGCTTTTGCAAAAGGGCTGCCATGTTTACATTAATAAATATATCAATTTGAGAAACTGGTCTGTTCATCCAACAACACTTGAGTTCTTTTTCTATGCTAGGCAGTGTTCCAGGTACTATTCCATACAAGGATGGGAAAGACCCAGCCTCTTTGGTCTTCCAACAAAGATAAAGATAAGGATTTAGTCAAATTCCTTTACCCAATACAGCTGCCAAAACATGTTTTAAAAATATTATTATTCCATAGCTGCAATATTGTGCCAGGCACTGTGCACAGCCTAGCATAATGGAATCAGGCTACTTGGGGTCCCCTTATCCATAGAGGATACATCCCAAAACCCCCAATGGATGCCTGAAATTGTGGACAGAACTGAACCCTATACATATGTACTATGTTTTATTCTATATATCCATATTCATGATAAAGTTCGGTTTACAGATAGGGTACAAGAAGATACTAACAATAATAACTAATAATAAAATGGAACAAATATAATAATACACTGGAAGAAAATAGCCAGTATCACTGCTGTTGTACCTTGGAGCCATTACTAAATAAAACAAGGGTTACTCAGACATAAGCAATGGGATGCCACTATGACAGGAGATGTGACTAATGGGTGGGTAATGTATGCAGTGTGGATACACTGGACAGAGGAATGATTCATGCACTAAGCAGGATGGCTGAGATTTCATCATGCTACTCACACAACTTAAAACTGATGAATTGTTTACTTCTGGAATTTCCCAAAAATTGATTAAATGTCACAGACCACAGACAGTAAACCACAGATAAGGAGGTGTCATTGTAAATAATAAAACTACCACTAATTGGCTGAGTAATCTTGTGCAAGTCACTTAGCTTGTGCCTCAGTTTCCTCAAATGTGTCACGGGGATGTAATGATACTTACCTCTTAGGGTTGTTGAAAGGATGGATGAGCTCATATATGGAGAGTGTCTAGCAGTAGTGAGGGTTCAGTAAGCATTAGCCAGTGTTGTCGCAGCTGTCCCTAAATGACTCCAATTCGTTCATCACCTCCATTGGACAGCTAAGAAAATTGAGTGGCAGGGTCAATCTCACCCCTCTCTGGCTGGCACTGCAGGCCATGTTCTAACTACCAGGCTTTATCCTGGCTCAGGAACACTGCTAGCAGTTGCATTTGTCCAACACACATTGCATTTCAGGCACACTCTGGGCACTCACACTACTTCTAATCTTCCCTGCCACCTGCAAGGTAGATATTATTACATCCATTTTACAGATGAGAGAAAATTGAGGCTTAAAGTGAACAAGTGACTTTTGTTTGACTCAGAAGTACATTCTGCCCTCTGAAGCTCTCCATCCCAATGTTGTCCTTTAAAAAGTGAAACATATTAAGTCGGGAATGGTGGAGCACATCCGTAATCCCAGATAATCTGGAGGCAGAGATCAGGATTGCAGTCTGAGCAAGACAAATCTGGGCAAAAAATTGGAGAGTCCCCATCTCAACAAGCAGGCCAGGCATGGTGGTTCACATTTATGTTTCCAGCTATGTAGGAGGCATAGATAGGAAGATGACAGTCTGAGGCCAGCCCTGGGCAAGGGGAATACAAGACCCTATCTAAAAAAATAACTGGACTGGGGAGTGGTTCAAATGGTAGAGAGCCTGTCTATCAAGTGTGGGGCCCTGAGTTCAAACCCTGGGAATACCAAAAAAAAAAAAAGAAGAGTAAAACATATTGACTTCAACTGTCTGTACAAAAGTCACAAAAGAAGGCTTTGTGTTGATTAAAGGTACAGTTAGAACTTTCTGGACAGGCAGTTTCCTTGGCATCCATTTAGCTGGCCGTTACTTGGAAATCCCTGACCCACTCTGCCTGTGTTTGGGGCCCCTCCTGCTCTGCCCACTCTCTCCTTAAGATCGGGACCCTGAGTTCTCGGGGTCTGGGAAGTCATGTGGATGCCTTGCACTATAGCAAGGGAACAGAGGGGACAGTGAGGTTCTGTTGCTTGAAAACTCTCCCCAAAAGCCAGAGTCCACACATATGAAATGGCCAGAAAAGGCGAGTTCACAGAGATAGGGAGAAGATCCGTGGTTGTTCAGGGCTTGGGAGCAGGGAGTAATAAGAAGTGACTGCAAGTAGGGTTGGGCTTGAACTCAGGGCCTCACGCTTGCTAGGCAGGCACTCTTACCACTGGAACCACTCTCACAGCCCTGAGGTTTCTTTTTGAGGGGATGAAAATGTTCCAGAATAAGACAGTGGGGATTGCACAACCTGAGCCCATAGACACTTGACAAAGCTGAATTGTGAGGCATGTGCATTTTATCTCAAGAAAATTGTTTGAGAAAAAGCCAGGCATACTGGGAATATGCTTGTTTTGTCCTTTCCCATAACTGCAAGGGATGGGGTGGAGTGAGGGCAGGAAGACATTAGTGCATGACCATGAGCAGGTCTGAGGGGCATCGCCCTCTTCTCTGTAAAACAAGGCCCTTGACCTGGGAGCCATGTGGGAAGGGGAAGTGGGAATTGGTGGGAAAAATGGGAGAAGTGTGGGGACTGGACCCTCCCCTCTTCAACCAAAGCAGCACACTTGTATATTTTTATTGATCAGCTCCCCTCTTATGATATGACTCAAAGAGTTTTCTACTTAAAACTATTTTTCTTGTTCTTCGGGGGATTTTCTGATGATACTAGGGGTTGGTTTGCACCAAGCAAACGCTTACCAATTGAGCCAATTTTGCTCTGGTTATTTTGGAGATGGGACTTTGGGATCTATTTGCCCAGGCTGGCTTCACACCACAGTATTCCTGACCTCAGCCTCACAAGTAGCTAAGATTACAGGTGTGATCCACTGGCGCCTGGCATTCTGTTTCAAACTTTTTGAAAACCCCTGAGTTAGATGATGTATTCTAACTTAATTAGGCAGTTGGGTAGGTGCTATAAAGTACCTCATCTTTGTTTTAATACAATTCTTGTTCTCATTGCTTTTACTGAGTCCTATATCTCAAAGAAGGAAACTTACCCAAAGGCCTGGTGCATTATGCAGCCCCAACTTCCTTTTACATCCCAGTTCAAACTCTTGCACAATGTCGTGGTTGAACACATAGCTACTGTTATTCTGCCCTGATTTATGAGACATCAGGGTTGTATGGAATGTTCCCTTGTAGGGTTACCGGTTAACATTTTGACATTTAGTTTATCATACTCAGTCTGCTACTGTTTTAATCTCTGTTTCTCTGACCCTGGCGGTTTGGCTAAGTCTTATTCAATGGCATTTCTAGCCAGCTCCAAACTTCAGTTTCCTATCTTCACTCCACTTCTTTCCCCTTCATTTTCTTCCTTTCTTTATCGAAATATTTGGGGTTACATTAATCATTCTTCTCATTTCATTCCATTATCATAAC